TTAGCTTCCACCTGCTAACGGGCCGTTTTCTTTTTTTTTTTTTTTTTACCTTGTCCTGTTCAGCATTATGGCAGCAGAAATTAAATCTGAGTACCGTGCTCTGCTGAACAAAACTGCTTTGCCAAGGGAGGCTTTGTTAGAGAGAACCCCCCTTTATTACCCAAAACTTCTTTATTTGTTCATTTTTGTTACCAAACTTCCATATGTCCAATAATGCTGAACCTGACAGAGGGACGGGGGGGAGGGAAGAGTAGTGGAAAGGAGAGAGATCCTTTAGAAAGAGAGAGAGGGGGGAGAGAAAGAAAAAATAATAATAAAAAAAGAAGGAGAAAGAAAGACAACAGGACCATATGAGCAGCGGTTATGTCTGTAAAAAGGTCGTTTTCCTCCCGGTTCTCTGCAGGGTGACCAGTACGGACGACTACTTCCTGAGCGACGGCCTCTACGTGTGTGAGGACCAGCTGGAGAACGCAAAGCCTCTCAGACTGTTCGTGGTCAGAGTGAACCCGGTCCAACCAGGAGAGGGAGACCTCACAGGTACCTGCTCTGATTCTAACCAGATAACCTACGTAAATAAACCACAAACAACATAGAAACAAAGCTGGTGTCTTCTGTAGTCCAGTAGATGGAAACAAGTGAGTTAGAGCTAGAGTCAGGCCTTTAGAGGCGGGTTTTTCTTTGGCTTTAAAACATCCTCGTATCCCACAGAGCCTCGAAGGCCTTTTTTTTAATTTATTTGTTTATTTGACAGGGACAGTACAGTTAAACATTGCAACCAAACAGGTGTCCGATGTCCAAGTGCATAAGGCTTGTAGCCATTAGCTAATCTGCAGCCTTCGTCCCTGGTTAGGCTTTTAAAAGGTGTTAGCATTAAGGGGGGGGGTTAGTAACCACACACAGATGCATAAGAAACAAGAGAAGTTCAAACAAAACAAATAATTAATAAATAAAATGGAAGGAAAGTAAAAGCTGCTGAGACCAAAGGGACTTAAATAAAAGGCTCTTTTGCATTTTCTAACTATTAGTATTCACCTTGTTGTCTTTCATCATCAGGACAAAACACTGGGAAGGACACAGATCCAACTTTAGCAAAGAGAACCCGGTTAGAGAGGAGTAAGGATGGACACCCCAGCCCCCCACAGTCTCCAGAAACCAGAGAAAGACCTCAGACAACCACAGAGAGCCTCAATCCGACCAGAGAGAGGCTCCAGACAACCACAGAAGAAGAAAAGAGCAGAGAGAGGCAGGAGTCAGGCGGAGGTGAGGGGGAAGGATCCCCCGGTTACGTAGTTGAGAAAATATCTGCCTTTCTCCAGGACTCAGACCCATACATACTGGACATCGATCTGGATTTCTTCTCCTGTAAAAACCCCTTCAAGGAGTTATACACAGAGGTAGAACAGGCACTTCCAGGCTTCCCAACGTTGTCTTTTTTCCAGGTTTGGTCCTTAACTGACCTGAGGTTTTGATTGGTCCTGAACTGACCTGAGGTTTTGATTGGCCCTGTGCAGGAGGAGTTCTCCATCCTGAAGGAGCTGTACAGTTTCAGAAGGCCCCGGCGGGACGCCGACCAGGTCAGAGGACCCTCCTCTGCTCAGTTCACATCCAGAGATAACCCTAACCCTAACCCTAACCCATCATGCAGGCAGGGACCCCTTAGAGCGGGACTAAGCTGCCTCACCCTAAAGCTAAAGATAATCCTAAAGCTACCCCTCAAGCTAATCCTAAAGCTAACCTTAAAGCTAAGATTAAAGATAACCTTAAAGCTAATCCTAAAGCTACCCCTAAAGGTAATCTTAAAGCTAACCCTAAAGCTAATCCTAGCCTAAATCAAAAACTAATCCTAGCCGACCCCTAAAGCTAATCCTAGGCCTAACCCTATGCCTGGGGCTAGCTTTAGGCCCAGGCCTGGGGCTAGCTTAAGCCCAGGCCTGTGTCCAGAGGTGTGGAGGATTGAGCGTCTCTGATGGGCGTTGTCTGTGGATGTTGTGTGTGTGTGTGCGCCTGTTAAAGGAAGTTTTTCCTTGCCTGTGTCGCCTAGTGCTGCTCATGGTGGGAATTGTTGGGTTTCTGTAATTAACTTCAGAGTAGGTCTGACCTGCTCTGTTTGGAAAGCTGTGAGATAAACAACTGTTGTTGTGATGTGGCGCTATAGAAATGAAATTGAATTGAATTGAATTGTCTGTGGATGTCCAGGAGGAGCTGGTGGAGTGTGTGGACGCCCGCGTGCGTCAGTTGGAGGACCTGGAGGCGGCGTTTGCTGACCTGCTGGAGGACGACGGGGACGAGACCCTAACCCGACTGGCCCGTTGCTCCGGGTAACCACGTCTGTCTGTGTTCTGTTCTAGGGTTAAACCACAGCCTCCTCCTCTGCCCCCCCTCTCTGACTCATTCAAGAATCTGGTCATGAACAAACACAGGATGGATTCTGTTGGGGATAGTGGGATATGGTTAGAATACATCCAGAGTCCTCCTTCCAGGCCTGGGTTAGGGTTGAAACCTAACCCTAAACCCTTTGAAACCAGCCCAAACCGGGTCACAGCTGCCCTCTAGTGTCCTCACGTCACATGGTCACGGCGGCCATTTTGTCTGAGTCCACAGGTCCTGCCAGGGTTCTCTGTGTTTGGGGGTCAGGGTTAGTCCAGAGGTTAGGGTTAGGGTTAGTCCAGAGGTTAGGGT